CACATGCCGCAACGAAGATGCCGTGTGCCAAACTAAGACCTGGCGCAGCCTAAATAAATAAATTTTTTTTTTAAAAAAGAGCTTACTACAGACCAGGAGTTCTCAACCAGGGGTGAGCCTGCCTCCAGAGGATGTTTGGCAACATCTGGAAACGTTATGGGGTATCAAACTGGAGACACAGTGCTCCTGGCATCTCATGGGTGGTGGCCAGGGATTCTGCTCAGCACCCTACAGTGCACAGCACAGCCCATCACAGAGCAGGCTCTGGCTCCAGTGTAGCTGAGAAACCCTGGGGTGGGCTGAGAATTGTTTACTGCCCTACTGGCCTCATCTCTCTCATCCCCACCACAAACTCATGATGTTAGTGCTTGTGATAGCGAGATCTATAGTAAGAGACATACATGTGTTGGAACTTCCCTGGTGGTGCAGGGGGTGAGACCCCATGCTCCCAATGCAGGGGCCTGGGGTTCGATCCCTGGTTGGGGAACTAGATCCCACATGCATGCTGCAACTAAAAGTTCTCATGCCACAGCTAAAAGCCCGCATGCCGCAACTAAGACCCAGTGCAGCCAAAATAAATAAATAAATATTAAAAATAAAAAAAGAAATATGTATTTGTTCTTAGTTCACTCTTCCTGGCACAGAGCTCCTAAAACCGTTAGAGTTCCCTAAGTGATGAGAGCAATAAAGATGTCCTGTTTGGTTAATTTTTTTTTTTTTTTTTTCTGCTGCATGGCATGTGGGATCTTAGTTCCCTGACCAGGAATCAAACCCGTGCCCTCTGCAATGGAAGCGTGGAGTCCTAACCACTGGACTTCCAGGGAATTCCCCTGTTTTGTTAATGAGGTAACTTTTGGAAAGCACCTTAGAATGGGGGCTGGTTGCCAGGGGAACCAACCACATGATTAGAGGGTTGGAACTTTCAGCCCCACCCCCCTACCTCAGAGGAAGGGAGAGGGCCTGGAGATGGAGTTCAGCTGGGGAGAGTAGGGCGCTTGGGAGGGCGAAGCAGCATATGCTTGGGAGGGCGTAGGACAAAGCATACATTGTCCTATGCATCTCTTTCATCTGGCTGGCTGTTCCTGAGTTATATGCTTTTATAGTAAACCGGTAATACAGTGAGTAAGTGGGGTTCCTGAGTTCTGTGAGCTGCTCTAGCAAATTAATGGAACCCAAGGAAAGGGTCATGGGAACCCCTGATTTATAGCCAGTTGGACAGAAGCACAGGTAACAACCTAGACTTAAAATTGGCATATGCAAACTATTTTATATAGAATGGATAAACAATAAGGTCCTACTGTAGAGCACAGGGAACTATATTCCATATCCTGTGATAACCATAATGGAAAAGAATATTAAAAAAAGAATGTATATATATGTATAACTGAATCACTTTGCTGTACAGCAGAAATTAACACAACATTGTAAATCAACTATACTTCAAAAAAAAAAAAAAAGATTGGCATCTGAAGTGGAGGGCAGTGCTGTAGGATGGAGCCCTTACCCTGTGGAATGCGATTCTATCTCTGGGTAGGTAGTGTCAGAATTGAGTTGAATTGTAGGACCCACAGCCGCTCTCCAAGAATTGCTTGGTGTGGGGATAACCCCACCCACGTGCTGGAATTGGGTGGTAGAATTTTAGTACTTCAGTCACCCCTCGCTTCGGTATCCACAGGAGATTGGTTCCAGGTTCCCCCCCTCTTCAGATAACAACAGCTGGGGATGCTCAAGTCTCTCATCTAAAATGGCGTAGTATTTTCATATAACCTACTGCACATCTTCCTGTGTACCTCAGATCATCTCTGGATTGCTTACGATACCTAATAGAATGCAAATGTTATATAAATAAATAGCTGTCAGCTCAAGGCAAATTCAAGTTTTGCTTTCTGGAACTTTCTGAATTTATGTATTTATTTATTTATTCTGCACTGCACGGCTTACTGGATGTTAGTTCCCCAACCAGGGATTAAACGCGGGCCCCCAGCAGTGGAAGCATGGGGTTCTAACCACTGGACCACCAGGGAATTCTCTGGAATTTTTTTTCAAATATTTTTGATCTGTGCTTGGTTGATTCCTGACTATTATTATTTCCACCTGTCACAGGAGGAAACTGAGGCACGGGGAGCCCAAGGAGCTTCCCTGAGACCTCACAGCTCATCAGTAGCAGCCTGGACCCAAAATGCTTCTTCTTTATTCCTTTCTATATAGTGAGACATTTTTAAGACATCTTCATGCCTTAGGTTTTCTTTTTAGCTAGAATAAGGCAGGACTATATAGACAGTAGAGGAAAAAGCTCATTCACAGAACCTTCAGTCACATCTCACTGAGCCTCCAGGTCCCCCTCTGTAAAAAGGGACAAATTCTAATTTTTTTAAAAAATAAATTTATTTATTTATTTTTGGCTGTGTTGGGTCTTCGTTTCTGTGCGAGGGCTTTCTCTAGTTGCGGCGAGCGGGGGCCACTCTTCATCGCGGTGCGCGGGCTTCTCACTGTCGCGGCCTCTCCCGTTGCGGAGCACAGGCTCCAGACGCGCAGGCTCAGTAGTTGTGGCTCACGGGTCCAGTTGCTCCGCGGCATGTGGGATCTTCCCGGACCGGGGCACGAACCCGCGTCGCCTGCATTGGCAGGCAGATTCTCAACCACTGCGCCATCAGGGAAGCCCCCAAATTCTAATTTTTAAAAAAGAGTTTTGAGGGAGCTTCAAGGATGGCGGCATCCACGGCACTGACTCTGCAGGAGAGCCCCAGCATGAAAAAAGCAGTGTCGCTGATAAATGAAATAGATATAGGAAAACTTCCACGATTGCTCACCCCAATTCTTCAAAAACTTCACCTGAAGGCTGAGAATAGTTTCAGTGAAGAAGAGGAAGAAAGACTCCAAGCTGCATTTTCTCTAGAGAGACAAGATCTTCACCTAGTTCTTGCAACAATATCATTCATTTTAGAACAGGCCGTATATCACAACGTGAAGCCAGCTGCTTCGCAGCAGCAGTTAGAGAACATTCATCTTAGACAAGACAAAGCAGAAGCATTTGTCAATGCTTGGTCGTCTATGGGTCAAGAAGCAATTGAAAAATTCAGGCAGAGGATTCTCGCACCCCACAAGCTGGAGACGGTCGATGGCAGCTTAACCTTCAGATAGATGGCCCACTCTGCCCAAGCAAAACTAAAATCTCTTCAAGCTGTGTTACAGCTAGGAGTGAGCAATGAAGAGTCGAAGAGCCTGAAGGAAGTTCTTGTGGAATTCAGTCACAAGGAATTGTTTGATTTCTATAACAAGCTTGTGACCATACAAGCACAGCTGGATTCCCTTACAGGATGTTCTCCAAGACTTGTTTCTCTATATACTCCTGCCACCTTATTATTTTGCACTGAAGATAAACGGCCAGGTTGTGTTTTCTGAAGGATTCGTTAGCTTTCTTCTTGTAAATTATATGGCTTATTGCTTCTTATCACAGTAACGGCCAAGGAAGATCATTGTTCTGAGTACAGATGTTCTAATATACATTCTCTAGTTCTGTGAGCCAACAGCAAGCAATTGTTAAGAACACTTCTGTTTTAAAGGAAACAAAAGTGAATATCGTATTGTTTTTACTGTCCTATTTTTGCTTTATTGCCTGACCTTTTTGTTTTTTACATACTTGATGATACTTTTATGTATCAAGAAGGGTCCATGGATACAAAGTGTAATGTGTACCTTAGAACACAGAACTTCATTAATTACAATAATAAAAATAAGAAAGTAGCCACATTCAAAAAAATTTTTTTTATTGGAGTATAGTTGATTTACAATGTTGTGTTTCAGGTGTACAGCAAAGTGAATCAGTTATACATATATCCACTGATTTTTAGATTACTTTCCCATATAGGCCATTACAGAGTATTGAGTAGAGTTCCCTATGCTATACAGTAGGTCCTTATTAGTTATCTATTTTATATATAGTAGTGTGTGTATGTTAATCCCAACCTCCCACTTTATCCCACCCACCCACCCCTTACGGGACAAATTCTACTTGAGGTGCAATGAGAGGGCTTCTTAGAAAGGAAGATACCTCCAGCCAGCCCTGGAGGATCTGAAACAGCAGGCTAGGGTCGGAAGCTGAGTGAGGCCCCCACAAAGGGGACTGGGACTGCACTTGTCAGAGATACCAGCCCAGGTAAGTTCCCAGATGGCTCCTGCCCAAGGTCTTGGCTGGGCCAAAACTACCTCTGTGGGAGGGTGTGGTTCCTGCCTGTCTGGCCTCCATTCCATCATATCGGGTTAAAACCACAGCTCTCTCCCACAGCTATTTTCCCTTTGTGGACCACCCTCCACTTCTTCTCATTCTAGGAGGTTTGGAGAGAGGTGACACCACCCTCTGGCCACCGGAGTGGGCATGTGGGACTCAGGCTTCACAAATCAGAGCATTCCTTCTTCCCCAACCATAGTGATTGGCTCAGGGACTGGCCTGTGACCCGAGCCAGCCAATGAGAATCAGCCATAGACTTTGGGGAATTATTTGGAGGAGAGGTGTTCTCTTTCTGCTGAGTGGCTGAGTTGGGAGGATATCAGCCAGCAACCACCTATCTTTGCCACAGCAAAAGCAAAGTGGAAAGCAAAGCAAAGCTACGTGGTCAAGAGAGGAGGCTGACGACATTGGGTGAGCACCTGAATCTATACCACCTGAAGCACCTGAAGCTATACCTAAAGCATACCAACATTTGGGCTCAAGCTGGATTGAGGTGTGATTTGACTGTCACTTATCACCAAACAGGTCATGACTGATACAGAACTCAAGTGGGACAGAACCAGGCTCTGTGAAGTTCCAGATGTTGGCTTTCCTCCCTCACCTCTAAGGGTAACCCAGGAAAGTGCGGCACTTTAGGAAATAAGGCTGTGGCGTCAGCCATGTGATCAGAGCAGGAACAAAGTCACACGAGCCATCCATGTGTGGGGCACCCACCTGCAGGTCCTGATGGGGAAGCACCTACCTTTCCCCCACTCATCTTTGCCCCATTTACCTGTGGACTGTGCTTCTCCCACAGAGCGGGGATGAGCCTCTGGACTGTCTTGTACTCCACTGGAATCTCATACACATGCAGGTCCACGCTGTCACCGAGCCCCAGCTTCTCCAGCTCCTGGGAGCAAGAGCAGAGGAAATGTGGCATTAGGTCAGGGCTGCAGGGATAACTAAATCCCTGGGGACAGAGTGACCTATCCTCAGAAGACAGGCGGGGTTCCTGACTCACTGCAGAGCGGGAAGGCACATGCGCTGGCCTATCCCAAAGATCCTCCCTCAGCCCCTTCCCCACCCCCTCTCTCAGCATCTCCGTGGGCAGCAGCATGATACCATGGCCTCTGAGGCTAGTCTCCTGGATTTGAACCCTGCCTGTGGGGGGAAGGGCAGTGACTTGGGCAAGTCACTCAACCTCTCTGTGCCTCAGTTTCCTCATCTGTAAAATGGGGATAATAAAGTACTTACTTCACAAGGTAGTTATAACAAATGAAGGAACTAATTCACGCTAAAGAGTTCCAAGCAATGTTTGGCATACTGTAGGGACTCGAATAATGTTGACTACCATTACTACTATTATTTTTGTTGTTTGTTATTATGCTCTCCCTTTGTTACACCTGTTAAGAATTATTTATAGACTTGGTGCATGGTAGATAGCAGGGTCTCAACATATATTTACAGATGGACCCAACTCCTTAGGGAGCCTCTAACCATCTCAGGAATGAAGGGGTTTAAGAACATCATGAATTATAAACAAAAATGGGCTATGATGACCCCAAATTTCATAGCAGCACTATTTACAATAGCCAAGACATGGAAGCAACCTAAATATGTCCATCAACAGATGAATGGATAAAGAAGATGTGATATATATATAAATGGAATATTACTCAGCCACAAAAGAGAGTGAAATAGGGACTTCCCTGGTGGCACAGTGGTTAAGAATCTGCCTGCCAATGCAGGGGACATGGGTTCGAGCCCTGGTCTGGGAAGATCCCACATGCCGCGGAGCAACTAAGCCTGTGCACCACAACTACTGAGCCTGCGCTCTAGAGCCTGCAAGCCACAACTACTGAGCCCACGGGCCACAACTACTGAGCCCACAAGCCACAACTACTGAGCTCACGTGCCACAACTACTGAAGCCCACGTGCCTATAGCCTGTACTCCGCAACAAGAGAAGACACTGCAATGAGAAGCCCGCACACTGCAACGAAGAGTAGCCCTCGCTCGCTGCAACTAGAGAAAGCCTGCACGCAGCAACAAAGACCCAACACAGCCAAAAATAAATAATTTTTTTAAAAAAAGAGTGAAATAATGCCATTTGCAGCAACATGGATAGCCCTAGAGATTATCATACCAAGTGAAGTCAGTCAAGCAGAGAAAGACAAATACCATATGATCTCACTTATATGTGGAATCTAAACAAAAATGATACAAATGTACTTATTTACAAAACAGAGACAGACTCACAGACCCAGAAAACAAACTGACGGTTATCAAAGGGGAAAGGGCAGGGAGGGATAAATTAGAAGTTTGGGATTAACAGATCCACACTACTATATACAAAATAGATAACCAACAAGGACCTACTGTACAGCACAGGGAACTATATTCACTATCTTGTAATAAACTATAATGGAAAAAATCTGAAAAAGAATATGTATACATAAGTACATACATATATATGTATATATAAATATATATCTGGGAAAAAAGGGCTATGATGGATCACCACATGCGTACTTTTCTGGGGAAACACGGATGCTTTCCTCAGATTCTCAATGTGGCAGAGCCCATGACTGGGCCTCCTTCCCCCAGATGGCCCACAACCCAGAGCACAGCAGACCCAGAACCAACTTTCCCGGAGGAATGATGATCCTGGCAGCTCTGGCGTCCAGGGGTGAGCAGAGACGTTCAGGGATGAAGGTTTCAGCTCAATATCAAAAACTGAGCATTCTTCATGGTAAAATTAATACCCCAAATAATGATTATCGGTCAGGCTGTTTCATATTATTCTCAGATCTCATGCAGTAATTTGGACATGCTACCACTGGCGGATGTTACAGAGTTCTATGGGCAGGTCCCAGGCGAAGCAGTTTTTGCATCTGGCCGTGCCGAATTCACTAGAGGTGAGCTCTTTTTTTTTTTTTTTTTTTTTTCACGCTGCGCGGCTTGTGGGATCTTAGTTCCCCGACCAGGAACTGAACCCAGGCCCATGGCAGTGAAAGTGTGGAGTCCTAACCACTGGACCACCAGGGAAGTCCCTAGAGGTGAGTTCTTGCATCTCCTGCAGCGGCTGCAGGATTTCTTTCTCTGGTTGCCTTGACCTTGCTATACCCACGCTATGCCAAATCTGTGCCCCACTGACTGCAGTTGCTCTGGAGAGTATCCGATGCCTGGAACAGCTAATTCCAAATTGCTCCCCAGAGAGGTCACCTGGAGACAAGGACATCTGGAGGGTAGGTGGGGCGAGGCAGGTGTGTGTGCGGGGGGGAGTCTCAAATGCCAACACCAGGATCTGGGACCCCAGCCCTCTTGCTAAGCCCAGTTACGTGTGACATCAGGAAGCCCTCCCCGCCGGACAGAAGAGGGCAGAGCGCAAACCTGCTCCCCAAACGTGGTGCACGGTGAGCTGCAGACACTGATGGGTAGAGGGCTGGGGGGGAGGGTGGTTATATTTTGTGTGAGATCTATTTTAAAAGACGCTAAAGAGAAAACTTTGTAAACTATTTAATTTCTCCCACAATCATTTTTCTTAGTCACTGATATTTTTATTCTTCATGCTCCTTTGTCTTCTCAACTCCCTGGAGTGTGGTGGTGGGAATCAGAGGGGACTTTCTTCAAGGGTTTATGGATTCAGAGACGAGGCAGGCCTGGTGCTCGCTGGCACACAACCATGATTCCTACCTGACCGTATTGTTTTTTACACCATTGAACCCCTGAGAAGCGCTGGAGGTTTTAGATCTGTGCTCCCTGTTTCCATTCCCGTGATTTTATCAATATTCACCCTGTTTGTGCACGCTGCACGCCCGGAGTGATTATTCTGAATGGCCACACATTAAAAATAATAGGAGGTTATAGACCACTGTTTGCTTGACGCTTGTTGGATACACCCAAGTTTTGTTTTGGCAAATTGATTTGGAGATCAAGCCCCACCTCCTCCCCAGCACTGCCCCAGCCTCCTGTCCCCCAAGGCAGCATCTAAAATCACAACGCAGGCTTTCCCTGCTTCCGCTCTGCTGTGGCTCCTGCCACGCTCAGAATAAAAATCTTAACTCCCCACCATAGCCCACGATGCCCTGAGGGGTCGGGATGCTGCCCTCCTCTCCCTTTGTCCCCCTTCTGCTCACTTCTCCCAACACAGCCTCCCACATACCAGACTCACTCCTGCCTCAGGGCCTTTGCACTGGCTATTCCCTCCACTTAGAATGCTCTTCCCATCACTTTCCAGTCAGTTGACTCCTTAGCCTTCGTGTCTCAGCCTCCCAAGAAGACATTCTGGATGCCCAGCCTGCTTTACATGCTCTCTTGGTCCCACTGGTCAATGTCTTGGCCACGGCCCAAGATGTGCACACATTCGGTGCTGGTGAATGTCGGCTGAACAAGTGAGCAGTTCAAGCTTGGACTGAGAGCAAATACAGACCCAGGTGAGCCTGGGCAAGTACCCGACCCTCCTGAGGGTGCCTTGTTTTTCTTAACTGTAAGTGGGGGTTTGGACTCACTGCTGGCTGTGACCGCTTTCCTTTTCATCCTTTCCTACATTTAAAAGTAGCTCCTAACTATTTGCAACAGCTGAAGTATCCATCACTGGATGAAAGAATATAAACAAAATGTGGTCCATCCATACAGTGGAATATTACTCAGCCATGAAAAGGAATGAAGCACTGACACATGCTACAATGTGGATGAACCTTGAAAACATCATGCTGCATGAAAAAAGCCAGACACAAAAGGTCACATATTATATGACTCTGTTTATGTGAAATGTCCAGAACAGGCAAATCCACAGAGACAGACAGCAGATCAATGGTTGCCAGGGGCTTGGGGACTGGGGATGGGGAGTGACTGCTAACGGGGACAGGATTTCCTTTTTGGATGATAAAAATGTTCTGGAATTAAATAGAGGTGGTGGTTGGACAACACTGTGAATGTAATAAATGCCACTGATTTGTATACTTTAAAATAGTTTTATACTATGCAAGTTCATCTCAATTTTTTTTAAAAAGGAAAAAAGCAGCTCTTAATTGCATGGATGGTGGAGGGTAGGAATCAGGGGTGGAGCCTCTAGAGCCAGGTGACCAGGTTTGTTCTCCCTCCCCTCCCCTCACTCCCTGGCTGGGTGACCCTGGGTAAGTCACTCAACCTCTCTGTGCTTTAGCTCCCTCATCTGTAAATGGGTGAACAGTAGTATCCATGTCATAGGGAGAAAAAATAAAACAATAGAAGAAACTAGAAAAAATAAAACAATGTTAAATTATATTTTAAAACATTAATGTGTTTCCTTTAAAAAAAATCCAAAAAAATCCAAAAAAAATCCAAAATTTCTGCCTAATATGGCATAAGTGAAAAAAAAATAGATAAAATGTGTAAAATAACAGTTTTCAGACGTGGAGTTGAGGAGTCAAAGCTGAGGTTCTAGAAAGTGTAAGAAGGCTACAGTTTGCAGAGTGGAGTCGTGGACAGGAGGTACCTGGGGGGGAAGAGGAGGTAGGGGGAGGGAGAGGAGGGGGGAGGGGAAGGGGAGGAGGGAAGTAGGTAGAGAGTGTGTGTAGAGAGGGAGAGAGGAAGAGAGAGGGAGAGAGAGGGAGGAAGAGAGAGAGAGATCAATCTAGAAGTTGATCCAGAGATCTTTTGAGAGTCCGAGGACTGATGGGTTTACACGCATGCAGAGGCCAGGGACAGAGCCACTTGAAAGGAACAGAGGGAACAAGCCTCCGAGCTCACACCAGGTTGGAAATACTTGTTCCCACCAGCCAGAGTGGAAAAACTTCACAAGGAAGTAGAGAAAAATTAGCCCCAGAGCGGAGACTGCTCTGGTTCTGCCTAACAAAACTGAACAGCAAGGCTGGAAAGGAACTGTTTCCAGTAGCTTAATTGTATCCCAGAACAAAGATCAAGAATA